CTGTAAAGATTTACAGCCTTGGAAACCGTGTACAGGGTCGCTATGAGTTGGAACTGACTCCACGGCACACAGCCAGCCAGCCACCACAATGGGATAAGGCATTATGACCCACAAGAGAGGCATTGCAGTGGGCGAGTTACTGTACTTATAACAGCTGGCCAGATTGCATTTTGGTTAGAATTTGATTTACAAAGAAGGGGAGAGTCTATTGCTAAAACAAAAGTTTAAATGAATCTCTGTCCTCTGGCCATGACGTTTCTGAACACTACTTACTGGTTATTTTAGGTGGTTTCTGTCCTACAATAGGTATCTTGTTATGACACCTTTGTTATAAAGTCAATTCTGACCTTAAGGAATACATTATTAATTTTTTTCTTCATTATTGCTTTTTATTATCAATGTCTTTATAAGTTGTAGCACTGAACATTTGCAAGTGAACATCTGAGACTAGCATCAGCAAATATGTGCTGTCACATTTTATGTATGATAAAGTGTGCAAAAAAAAGAGACAATGGTAAGTGTGGCTCATAAACTCAATTTGTAAATTGGGGAATAAACTTGTCAGTTTTATTCAATATTACGGAAGAGCGCAAAAAATAGGATTCAGATCACTCCAGTTTGAACCTTTGTTTTGTCATATAGTTGTTGTTGTCAGGTGCCATCGAGTCGAAACCGACTCATAGCGACCCCGTGCACAGCAGAACAAAACAATGTCCGATCCTGGGCCAACCTCACTACCGCTGCCACACTTAATTATTTAATAACTCATAAGCTACTATCATATAGTAGCTTATGAGTATTAAATAAATTGGTTTATTCTCTCAGCTGTGACAAAAGTTAGTGTGATGATTAAATTAGAAACTAAATGTGTGGTACCAAAACAAATGGTATCTGGTAATAGTAATGATAGTAGAAAGTGGTGATATTTATCAGTAATTTTCAAAACAATTGTGTCTTCTCTTTTTCTTGTGTATTTGAGGGGAGTGGAGAGTGGGCAAAGTAATTTTATATAGATCTTTCAAACTTTATATGTGAGATGTCCTTTCGAAATGAAAAATTAGTAATGATAGTAGGGTGTTTTAAAAATCATGAATATATTTGCATGAAATCTTATTAAAGGAGAAAATTGAATAATAAATATATTTAACTCAAAAACATTTTTCTTGAAATAAATATGAAATGTACTAAGAACTTTTTTTTTTAATTTTTATTGTGAATTGGGGTGAACGTTTACAGAACAGAATATCAGTTCAGCATTGAACATATCATACACTTTGTTTCATCTCTAATGTAACATCCATATTCTACTTCCTCCCTTTGTTTCTTGTTTTCATCCATCCTGCTTTCCTAACCCTTTAAAAATTTTTCTTTAGATAAATGTTACTCTTTTGATCTTGAATTGTTGAACATTCTATAGTGTGTGTACCTCACTGGTGTCCCATCGCCCCCCATGCCTGCACATTGCTTGGCTGAAAATTGAGTCACTAGGTGAATTCAATTTTAGACTTGAGGGGTGACCCATAGTCTCAGAATTCCACCAGTCCTGGTGTGGCAATGTGGGTTGATATGCTACACTGCAAAGTTGATTTGAATTACAAGATTGGCAATTCAAGCTCACCTGATGCTCCTTAGAAACCCTACTCAGGGTCACTATTGGTTAGTACCGACTAGATGGCACTTAACAACAACAAAAAATCTGACCAGTAAGTCTTGTCTCTTTATGATTTTAAGTTTTGTTCCATATTTTCTCACACTCTGTCTAGAACCTTCTAATGTGACCCCTTTCAGTGCAATTGATAGTGGTCAGTGGGCACCATCTAGTTCCTCTGGTCTCCAGGTTGTAGACACTGATGTTCATGTGGTCCATTAGTTCATTGGACTAATTGTCTCCAACCATCTTCACTTTTCATCACTCTTCTTCCCTCCACACAGGGAGACCAGTAGTTGCACCTTAGATTGCTGAACTTTTAAGATACCAGTCATTACTCACCAACGTAGGATGTATGTGGAACATTAACATTGTGTTTGTTGGCTATAGTATGCCAACTGACCATGGTGTCCCCCAGACTATGGCCCAATTCCTGAGACCCAGCAAATCGTTCCCTCAATAACAAGGTGTTAGGTAATATCTCAGAATTATTTATGTAGGTATATTTACTCTCCCTTTCATATCTATGCAGTATGTGTATCTATCCATGTCTCTACCCATTGTTGTTAAGTGTTGTCAAGTCAGTTCCAATTCATAGCAACCTGGTATAGGGTTTCCTTGGAGTAGCTGGTGGGTTTAACTGTCAGCCTGGTGGCTAGCAGTTGAGCACTAATCCTACAGCACAACACTGAGGCTGTATCTACCCCTAGATCATTGTTATTGCAGGGTTGTGGATATAACAGTATTTATCTCTGTCCCCTTTAACTCTTGCACTCCTCCTCGTATCATCATTTTTCTGCCAACTGACCTTTTGTTGTATATTGCCTTCCCTATCACCCAAGTTAACACGTGTCTACCCTCTTTATAGGACTCTTAGTGTGGCACTGTAGGATCAGCACTAGACTGCAAACCAGAAGGTCAACAGCTCAAACCCATCATCAGCTGCTCCTTGGAAGCCCTATACAGGGTAGCCGTGAGTCGGAACAGACTCGACAGCACTGACTAACGTATTTGCATTGATTCATTTAAGTATAGATTCAAAGAATAAAACCTTATTAAGTGCTTTATTCTTTGAATCTATTTTACAGATAAGATAATAAACTTAGGTGAAGAAATCGCTCAAAGGCATACAACACATAAATGGTAGAGCTAGTTTATACCTATCTTCATTTTTAATGCCACCACACTATTTGAGAAGGAAAATAGTTATAGCAGAACGTATTAGTTTGTGAATCTAATTCTGCTCTGAATTGTCAGTTTTTACTCCAATAAATACCTTTTTTTTTTTTTAATTTGAATTTCCTTTACCCTTCCAAATGGAAAACACCATTTTTAGTCATTAAGTACTTTGAATATAAAATAACAATCTAATAACTATTGAAAAGATCCCTGGGTATTAAAAGCAGTCCATCATCTGCTTTTAACCAGAGGCTGGCAGTTTGAACCACACAGGGATGCCCTGGAGGAAAGACATGGCTGTCTGTTTCATAAAGATTGTAGCCAAGAAAACCACCTGAAACCATCTACTCTCCCACATGCGGTTACAGTGAGTTCGAATTGACGTGAGAAAAGGCTTTGGTTTTTAATACTTACTGGCTAAGAATTTGGTATAAAAAGCCCTTACAGATTATTCTTTGAGTATTAAATTTAATACATTAATATTATCAGAATAATGGTTGTTAATATTTATTGAGCATTAATTTTATTTTGGGGACATTTTATGGATCTTCATGTAATTCTTTCAAAAGTCCCATTATGATGTTGTTGTTAGGTGCCGTTGAGTCAGTATAAACTCATTGTGACCCTATGCACAACAGAATGAAACATTGCCTTGTCCTGCGTCAACCCCACAACCGTTGTTACTTTTGATCTCATTTCTGCTGCCACTGTGCCATACCATCTTGTTGGGGTCATTCTCTTTTTCTCCAACCTTCCACTCTACCAAACATGATATCCTTCTCCATGACTGGTCCCTCCTGATAATATGCCCAAAGCATAAGAGACAAAGCTTGGCCATCCTGGCCTCTAAGGAGCATTTCAGCTGCACTTCTTCCAACACAGTTTGGTTTGTTCTTTGGCAGTCCATAGCTCTTTCAATATTTTCCTCCAACACCATAACTCAAATGCATCAATTCTTCTGTGGTCTTCTTGATTCACTATCCAACTTTAACATTAGGCTATCGAAAATAACATGGCTTGGATCAGACGTACCTGAGTCCTCAAACTGACATCTTTGCTCTTCAACACTTCAAAGAGGTCTGGTGCAGCAGATTTCCCTAATGCTTTGTTTGATTACTTGATTGCTGCTTCCATGAGTGTTGATGGTTGATCTGAGCAAAATGATGTCATTGACAGCTTTAATCTGTTCTCCATTTATCTTGATGTTGTTTATTGGTCCAGTGGTGTGGATTTTTGTTTTCTTTACATTGAGGTGCAACCCATAACGACGGCTGTGGTCTTTGATCTTCATCAGTATTTTACGTCCTCTGAGCTTTCTGCAAGCAAGGTTGTATCATCTCCATATCTCAGGTTATTAATGAGTCTTCCTCCAATCCTTATGCCACGTTTATGAAGGTACTAATATTGTCTTTGAACCCTGGTGGCATAGCATTTACACATTGGGCTGTTTACTTCATGGTTGACAGTTTGAATCCACCAGCTGCTCTGGAGAAGAAAGATGAGATTTTTCTGCTCCCATAGAGATTTACAACCTATACAGGGTTGGTATGAGTCTGAATTGCCTTGAAGGTACACACAACAACATTATCTCAGTTATATAGCTTATAAAACTTAAGACTTAAAGAGAATTATGTAACTGCCTAAGGTGCTACCTAAGGAGCCATGGTGACACATTGGTATAACTAGTGGGCTGCTAACTACAAGGTCAGTGGTTCAAACCCACCAGACACTCTGCAGGAGGCCATTGATACTGTCTGTTCCCCAAAAGTCTGGGAAAACCCTGAAGAGTAGTTCTGCTCTATCCTGTAGGGATGCTATGAGTTGGAATTGACTCAGTGGCAGTACATTTGGTAAGATTTTACCGTAGTGATCAAAGTGGATTATGAATCCTTGCTTTAATCATTTTTACAGTTCATATTAATATAATAGACACCACCCAAGCTGTTGAATTAGTTCTGATTCATAATGAGGCTATAAATCTTTATAGGAACAGGAAGCCTCATAATTCTCTCATGGAGCAGCTCATGGGTTTAAACTATGGACCTTGTGGTTAGCAGTCTAGTGCTTATCTTACAATGTCACCACGGCAATATTTAAAGCAACTACTAGAATCATGAAACTTCTTGTATTGTAATGAACCTTTTTTTATGGGTACATTATTTTTTTCCTTTAGGTTCACAATATTCTTGCAGAAATGGTGATGGGGGGAATGGTATTGGAGACCAACATGAATGAAATTGTTACACAAATTGATGCACAAAATAAATTGGAGAAATCTGAGGTAAGAGTGGAAAGTGCTCTAATTGATGAGGATTCTAAGCATGATCATAAATTATGCATCATTTGTAGCGTTCACTGTTTGTCCTTCAGTATCACCTTTCGGTACACCTAATATGCTTATTCTGTTCAAAGAAAATGGAATATTCACGTTTTGGTTTGTTAGATGGTCTATGACCAGTGACTAGTATCCCCCTAATAGCTGTTTGTATTCATAGCCACAATTGCCTTAGGTAATAAGTACAATTCCAAATTTTTATTACTTAAAAAAATTAAAGTTTATTTGAATAATGAAAGCTAGTATTCGTTGTACAAAAATTAGTCCATAATTATCATGGAAATCCTAGAACTGATATTTTGTGTGATAATTTAGGGTGTACAAAGCCATTTCTGGAAAGGGAAAGGAGACAGGATGGCATTCTCATGAGGAAGTAATGCTGTAATTTATAATAGGTGCTTGGTAGCAAGGGAGTGTAACATTGAAAATATAACTTCATTGATTTAATCTTTTAGCTCTGGATCCTTACAAAGGTCACTGACAAGTTAGTTAAGTCACATATTTTATAGTATGATATATGTATTCATGGCTTTTAATGGATACTATGGAGTCCTGGTGTGGTGCTGTGGGCTAATGCATCAGACTGCAAAGTCGTTTGACCTGCAAGGTCAGTGCTTCAAGCTCACCAGCTGCTCCTTGAAAACCCTGTACAGGGTTGATATGGGTCGGAATCGACTCGAAGGCACTTAACAACAACAATAGGAGAAAGAATTGTTTTATGATACTCATAATTGACTAATTTTGTGCTGTTAAATTGACACTTAGATTGATAAATGAGGACCAACCAGTGCTTTTGTTGTTGTTAAGTGTCATTGAGTCAGTTCCAAATCATATTGACCCTGTATAGGATTTCTGAGGAGTACCTGGTGGGTTTGAACTGCTGAATTTGTGTTTCCCAGTCCAGTGCTGATCCTACAGTGCCACACCAGGAGTCTACCAGCACATTAGCATTATACAAAACTTTTCTTTAGAATTTTAGTGACACTCCCCTCCAGTATTAGGGTGAATATCAGCAACAGGTGCTGTAGCTGAGCCACTCAATTTCACATTATTTTGGTGGTTTCTTATTACCAAAGGAGCCCTGGTAACATAGTGGTTGACAAGCTGAGCTGTTAATCGCAAGGTCAGTAGTTCGAATCTATCAGTCGCTCCTTGGAGAAAGAGGAGGCCACAGAAACCGTATGCAGGGTCGCTATGAGTCAGCACCGACTCAGTGGCACACAACCATTACCCCCACCAGCAGCTTATTACCAAAGAAGAGTTTAAGAAAGGTGGATAATTTCTGTATCCTTTTCAACACTATGCTTACTTAAGGTTATGTCTTACCTTTGGTATTTATAGCACAATTTAGATTGGAAGAATATATGCTAGTACATATATTATTTATATGGTTGATTTAAAGTAAATATTACTATAAAGAAGAACAAGGTATTACATATATTAGTATTAACATACTACAGGTGAGTTCAGAGGAATTTGTACCTTGTTGGCATTTTAAAGGATCGACTTGAGCACAGCGCTACTTACTGCTCATTTGTGTTGAAAAAAACCAGATGGTGAATAAACATCAACTATGAGGATTACAAACAGTTGAAGCTTTACATAAAAATTTCTCTATTGTATTATTTTTAATTATTTTACCTTATCTCACTCTATCATTCCTATTGATTTTTCTAGGAGAGGCTTGTAATTGTGAAGAATTTAAAATCATGATTTTTAAAAATAACTGTATATTTGTGTGTCTATAGTCAGTAATTTTTAAAGGTGGAAACTAGGTTAATAGACAAATTTTTGTTTTAGGAGAAGAAAAAGGACTTGGAATATTGCAATATATTAATTAGTATAATTGGTTTGCAATATATAATTTAGTTAGTAAAAGATTTACTATAAACTCTATAGTTTTTAAAGTCTAAAAATTAATGAGTTAAAATGTGTGTACTCTTTTTAACCATTGCCTTACAAAACTATGTGGTTATAGATTTTAAATGCCAAGAGACAAACAGTGATCTAACCCATTAATTATTTAGAATGAACTTTCATATTTCCAGGTACCAACTCCTTTCCATTAGTGGTGTCCTTTTTTTCCTTTTCTTTTGCTCCTTAGTGTGCTTTGTGTAATAGTGACAAAAGCCATGAAGGATTTATAGTAATTACATAATAGATTTTTGCCTTTTGATTGCTCAGTAAAACTTGAATTAGGCAGTTTTTCTGATCTATAAAGAGCAGCAAAATTGATATTTTGGATTGTAGTTACAAGAATACCATTAACTATATGAGAATACTTTTTTAAAAAACCCTTTCCCAGAAATGGTATTTAAATAGTTTGCAATACTGGTAAATACAAATATTATTTATCTGCTAATCATCTTTTAGGATATACAATCAGTTGTTATCTGTTATATGCTACCAAATTAGTTTATCTTTTTGCTCTTTATAAGAAAATATGATTTAAATTCTTTTTATTAGAACTAAACCACAGCATTATGTACATTTATCAAGTGTTTCTTTAAAGTGTGTCTGTTAAAATTTTAATTATTTAATAAGATCTGAATCAAAATGAGGCCTGTTAGTCCTGATCATATTTTGAAAAGTCATACTGACTTTGTATAATATTTAAATAATTTGTGTATATCTTTAGTATGTTTAGAAGACTGTCAGCTTTATTCCAGACAAAATGAAATGTCAAAAGTTTTAGTATAGGCTCATTTTTCATGGTTCTGTAACTGCTTACAGCTCGAAGATACATGGCTTCAGAATCCAAAATTAATTGAGAACAACATGTAAAGTTTTAAAAATCTGGCTCTTATTTAATTTCATTTAAAGATTATTATGTAATCAAAACTTAATAAGAAAGACTGCATTAAAATCCAGAATGTAATACTTGATGATTCTAACTGGCTATATTAAAAAATTCATATAAGTAATATTTCAGGCATAGTATTCATATCTTTAAAAATCAACATATGTATAATTAAGATACAGCTTTAAAAATTTTAACATGGGTCTATCTAGATGCCTTTACATTTTCAGGAATCAAAGATTGTATTCTGTTGTCTTAAAAAGAGTAAGTTTCCAATAATAAAGTGAAACCAGTTTAATTCACAATACATAGACAAGTAGATGCAAAGATCTCCCAGTTCCTTAGCTTGAGAGAAGCAGAGATAACGCTCTGAATGTATTTTCATCTATTCTGCTTTGATAGGAAAAAAAAAAAAAAAAAAAGGTTTACTTTAACATTGGATTCTGGGGTCAAAATGGTTTAAGCTGGGAGGTTGGTAGGGTTGGGGGGAAGTGTAAGAAGCACTCAGAAATCACTCAAGGAATATAAGAGCTCCCTGGGAGGAGGGGGTGGAGGTAAAGGGATGGTGCTGGGGAGAACTTACTAGCTTTTATGTATTTTGTGTTATTTTTAAGGTGGGTAAATGGGTCACTACTTTTTTTTAAAAGTCAGTCCTCTTATTCTGAACATCCTGATCTTTCTAGCTCTTTCCATTCTTCTCTCTTACAGACCTTTATCTTTCAGTCTCCCAGACAGGACAGGTAGACAAGGTATTGCTGACTTTAAGAAACATGTGCTTTAACAAAGGGAAAGCAAAATGACGTCAAAGACAATTAATTATTTAGGCCAGACTCAAAAATTCTTTGTGTTAATGAACCCATGCAGTCCCTGTAGCCTATTTTCCATTCTAGTTCCTCCTTGTAGTTTCTTCATCTTTTATTGGACTTAGTGTATTTTACTAGTATATCATTGATGTCATGTTTGTTCTGTTTTGTCTGCCTGCATTGTAAAATGGAAGTTTAATTTTTAAAAACCATTGTCATTTAACTGACAAATTATATTTGTAGAAATGACAATTTACCTGGTATGTAAAAACAGTGTTTGAGCCTCATATGGCAGAACCAATCTTAATTTAACTCTCACAGTTATTTTCTTTTCTTTTTTTTCTTTAATTTCATCTCTAAATTAGGATTTTAACATAAAATTACCTGCTGGGTTTTGAAAGCTATGAATTTAAAAATCATAAAGCTTTAGAGTTTTGCATATAAAGTGGCAAGCAGTGAAGTCTTGAAATAATTGACTGTTACAAATAGTTGCTTTTTTTCCCACAAAATGGTTTTCAGTTCCAAAGTCTTAACAGAATTGTCTTTACAATTTTGACTAGCAGGTGTATATTAAAGTTGGCCAACAAAAAGTAGATTAGAAATCTTCTAAAACTTGCATTAAATACAGGGACCAAAATAATAAAGATTTCTGCTGTAGCATTCTTTACTTCTAAGCATTTCATAATCAGACTTAGCAAAATACTGTAAACCTTGGGCATTTTTGCAAAGCATATAAGCAAGTATGGAAATGTTTTTTATAGACTCCTAGTTAAAAGGGGCAGTCGTTGGTTTAGTAGAATTCTTGCCGTTCATATGAGAGAGCTCAGTTCACTTCTTGGTCAGTGTGTCTACAGCACAGCCATCACCTGTCTATCACTGGAGGCTTTCATGTGGCTGGAATACCTATTTTGGCTCTGGATATAGAAAAGACAATACATAGTGGCCTCATTTACTCCATTGATCCAGATGACTGCCAGTTTCTGTCTTTGATTTGTGTTAGTCTTCTGTTGTCTAGCAAAGAACAGTTAACACTTAGGTCTCTGAAGTTGCATCACTAGAACTATTGATTGGCTTTTTAAAACATCAGTTTCTATTTTAAAAGAGTAGAAATTAAGAGAAGTAGGTACAGATGCAGTTGTTGGAAAATACAGATGTTAAAAGGTCAGCTAGTGAGTTAGTTCTGCCCCTTTACCTTGCTACTTCGTTATTTTATACTTTGGTTAAGGAGCTCTGGTAGCGTAGTGGTTACAAATCAGGCTGCTAACCCAAGGTCAGCAGTTCGAAACTACCAGCTGTTCCGCAAGAGAAAGATGAGACTTTCTGCTCCTGTAAAGATTTACAGCCTCGAAAACCCTATGCAGGGTCTCTGTGAGTTGGAACCAACTCCACGGCACACCACCACCACCATATTTTGCAGTTAGAGCTCCTGAGAGTTCAATAAGAGTATGATAAAGATTTTTCGATTTTTCACACATTCAAACACTTCTTTCTTGCCCATTAGAGTATTGTTGTAAGCATTTCTAATCTGATCATGTATACTTTCAGTATTAAAACACTGCCTTTAAAGCAAAGAGCAAAGGCTACTTCTCCCCCATCCCACCCCAACCTCACATTGATAAAGTTAAAAAACAGAAACTGTTTTACTCAAAAACATGCTTTCAAAATCTGCCATTATTTTGTTAATGATTTTGAGTCTGAAACCATTTAGTACTGTGTTTATTAATATTGATGTTCTTTTTACCACTTTGCTGTTATATCAAAATTATGAATGTGCATATAGCAATGTCCAGCAGGAAGGGTGGGTAAAGGTTTCAGTTTGTAAAAATTATTTCAACTACCATCTTATTATACTGTATTTAAAGTGTGAGAAAAGTTATTTTAAGATGGTAGAATAGAATTTTGTTTTAGATAAAATAAATATCTAGATGTTACTTTACTTTTCCCTTCAAGAAAGTTAATTGCTTATTGCATGAAGAAAAGAGAGTTTTCAGGTTCTTTGAAATAAATTTTATTAATGCTGCTTTTTTTTTTTTAAGTTTTGCTTGCACATATTTTGTTTATTTTTGGGTCTGGCAATTTAAAAACAAAATAAAAAACAAATCATATTCATCCATTACTATCTTTGTGATTCAAGTGCTTGAAATTTCTAAGAGTATGTCTGTATAAGTCTTCTATCTGTTTGGCCTCATTTTGGTATACTTGCAGACTTCATTTTGTTTTCTTTCTCTTAATTCTGTTAATTTATTTAATCTCATGGGAGAGAAAACATGGTCATTCTTTTATATATTGTTCTTCATTCTTCCATCAAATCCATACTCTTAAATGCTTTGGATTCATGTATTTGTTTTTGTTAGTGGAATTGCTGCAGTTTACCTGCCTTGGTGCTCGATTATAACATAGATGGAAACAAGTTATTTCTCCAGTAGGAATTCATTCTTTATTTCTGCTTTGTGCCAACTCTGTAATCTTAAACATTTAAGACTTTATCGTACTCTCAGAAATATTATTCTATTTTAATTTGTGCATACTAAATCAGGTTACCCTAACTCCTATAAATTTTAGTACGCAAAAAAGGATTTATAAATGTTTTCTTGTTGCTTTGAGTGTATCTTTCTGGGAAAACAAAATCCAAAAGCTAAACCAAGGTAAAAATTACTTTACACTTCTGTTAGCAAACTGATTTCTTAACGGAAAATTACCTCTTTTACATTTTAAGCTAAAGTAAAAACTCTTTCAGACTTCACTCCTGAAGGTCTGGAAATGAAATTTGTGTTATGGCAGTGTTGGTGTTGACTGAGTAATACACAGGTTTTTGTTTTGTTTTAAACTAATATTCATAGGATGGTCATGTGCTGTGGAGTCAGTTCCGATTCATAGCTACCCTGTATATGGTTTCCAAGGCTGTAAATCTTTATGGGAACAGAAAGCCTCATCTTTGTCCTGAGGAACAGTTGATAGTTTCTAACCACTGACCTTGAAGTTAGTAGCCTGACTCCTAACCACTCTGCTACCAGAGCTCCTTAATTTGCATTTATAAGTATGTAATAATTTGTTGTTGTTAAGTGGCGTTGAGTCAATTTTGACTCAGTGACTCTATTTAGGGTTTCCAAGAAGTAGGTGGTGGGTTTGAACTGCTGACCTTGTGGTTAGCATTCCAGTACTTGTTTTATAGCACCACACCGGGAGTCATTTAAGCATCTATTTTCTCATGAAAAGTATTTCTTGAATTTTTATGCATATCTTTATTTCCCTGTGACTCCTGATTTAAAATATTACTTCAAATTGAAATACATATTACAAGTTTTAAAGTTTTTCCTAACATTTCAATTCATAACATACTTCACAAAAGTTATTGAACATGCTTGAGAAATAATTTGATTCTCTTTAATTCATTTGCGTGTTCTTAATAATTACCATTTCTTTGCATGTCTCTGGCTTGCTGCTTATGTTTAGAAGAATTGTACTTAGAAACTTCTTTAGGTTTTACGTAATAAGGAATTGGCACATATATGTTACTTAAATCAATCACTATAATAACTGTGTATTCATTCTCATTAGCAGCCAAAAGTCTACACCATCTTTGGTCTCAAACAAACAACTTAATCTAATGACATTTAACTGGATAAATTTTTCATTCTCATTTTATTTTCTTAAGTTTAGCTGTTCATAGTACAGTATATTATGGAAAAGTAGATTTTATGACATTTTATTTTAATACTGAAACAGTATTTTTATTTTTTATAAATCATGGCATCCAAACACACACACATGAATACTCATATTTTCTCTTTCCATCCCTTTCTAATTAATAAAATTCCTCATGACTTTAAAAATTCATATGAAAATATTTTATTAATACTTTCCAATGCATATGTTCCCTGTTTGGAAAAGCAAAAATAGTGGCAAATTGGTCTGTGATTTCAGAAAAATTACCAAGTCCTTCTGCCTGGAAAAATAATACTAGTTCTGGGATGTCTGTAATTTTGTAGTTTATGTTCACATGACAGTTAACATACTTGCTAAAGAAAAGGGGGACCTACAAGATGGTAAACCTCTCTGAACTGGATTCTTTAAAAAAAAAAAGAGAAGTGTATCATAAACCATTCTAAATTTTGCTTACTAGAAGTTGAACTTGAAATGGTCAGATTAAAGACCCTTTTGAATATGTTATGTGCTACACTAAATAATATTCGGTTGTATTTCCAACATCATTTTGTATTCTGGGAGGGAAAATGAGATATTAAACAAAAATGCATTTCTTCAGGTAGGTATAAGTGTAGAAATGAAACAAATTTTGGTTATACATAAAAAATAATCACCCTTCATTAAATTATAAAAATTGCATTCTTCAGCCCTAACCTAACATTAGGCTATGGAGTTTTTCATCCATATCACCCTTGTCATTGCCTGTGTGGACCATATCTATTACTGATACTATTTTACTGATTTTTCTATTTTTTCCAATTCTGAATTGATAATTCATAGCTTTTAATTAATTTAATTGATAATTTCATTGCTTAACAATGTTTGTATCCTTTATTCAGCAAATAGTTTACACTGGCCTATTTTGTATCAGTCAAGATTTATCTCAGGTAACAGCTTTATTATTATTTATTTATCAACAAAAAAGGTAGGCTTATATAAGAAAAAAAAACACCAAATTATGAAAAGGGACTTTAAAAGTAGTATTTCTAATTACATGGATATTGTGGAAGATTTGTTTTTGTTACTTGTCTGTTTCTGTGCAAGGTGATGGCCTTGAACTCAGATGTGTTTGTTGGCATTGCTGTATTATATAGCCTGAATAAAGATGGATGACAATATAAATTAAACCATAAATGCTGTTTGAGACAAAATATATAATCCATTATTCTTTTTATCTTTAAGCATATTTTCTTTCAATATTATTTTACAAATGATAAATTTTCCTACTAAGAGGAAATCTAAGTATTATACAATATGGTAATTACTGAAAAATTTGAAATTTATTTATATATACAACCTCTTGCATTATGGGAGAAAGATGAGGTTTTTCTGCTCCTGCAAAGAAATGCAGCCTTGAAAACCCTATACAGTGTCACTAAGAATTGAAACCAAGTCATTGGCACTTAACAGCAACAGCAAGCCTATTGCATTTATGCTAATTTTTTTGCTCTAAATCTGTTTACTGTAAACTAAATATATGTTGTTGAGTCTACCTTATATGATAAAATATTTTTAGTCTCTATATTTTTATTAATGCATTGAAGGGTTTGAATGATCCTCTTTTTTGCAGTTTCATCTTTAGGCAGAACAATTCTCTTTAGAGTAAAGAGCCTGATTTTTTTTTTTTTTTTTTTTTAAGCCTTCTAGAACTTTCCTAGCAAAACTTAGAACTCTCCCACATTTTTTAAAATGTATTTAAAATTGTCTGCTGTTTATAAATGTTTTAAGGGCTTAGCCCTGAGTAAAGAAACAAAACAAGCATAATCTATTACTTTTATTTTTATTTCACGACACATTGATGATAACCAATGCCATTTTTAAAACCCCCGCCCCCAAAATTGTGATTGTTGCAAGAGATGTTTAATAAGGAAACTAAAGTGAAATATGCTTCCTGCTTAGATCGTAAGTCAGTTACATCAAGATATAGGTGAAGATCTAGCTGTAGCTATTGAATATTACATGTATAACATCTAGGGTAGGACATGTTATTTTACATGTAAATCTTTTCATCGTTATCATTGCATGTGCTCACAGTATTTTTTAATGTGTCAACTGTTTTCTTTTTATAGAGTAGTATTTCAAAGTAACCATCTCATACCAGTTCAAACTATCATTTGGTCTTTAAACTTACTGTATGAAAATCTTTTATCATTGTCTTCCATTATAAATGTTTGATGATGAACCACACCTGAGTTGTACATTTTGTTTTTCTTGTATTTGCTTCTGTATACAGGCTGGCTTCGCAGGAGCCCCAGCCCGTGCTGTATCAGCTGTAAAGAACATGAATCTTCCTGAGATCCCACGAAATATTAACATTGGTGACATCAGTATAAAAGTGCCAAACCTGCCCTCTTTTAAATAAAAAAAAAATGTAAAGGCTACTCCGAGGTAAAATCCAGGGGGAAATTCATCCACGTTTACCAGGCAGTTGTTTACCAAAAATAGAGGAGGAGAGTCTTAACTTTTGCTCTTGGATTTAAGTCAAGGTACTGTATAGAAGTTGTGTAAAATCAGTATGTGAAGTTTATGTTGCGTTTCTTGCTCAGTGATTTTTTTTTTTAATTGAGTAGTTCCTGTGTGATTTTTTTTTTGTTTTTTTAATTGCATTCCTGTGCCCACCTAAGGCATGCTTCTATGTATTGGCTATTACAGTATTTTGAAAAGTGTTTGAGATACTTATTTAATTATGTACAACCCAAAATGTTGGTGTTTTGTATGGATCACAAGTACAGCATTCCTTAATTCCTTCTGCTATTGTCATAATTGTTATTTAAAGAACCAAGTATGTATTGCATGAAAACATTATGACCTTTTTCTCTTGTTTTAAATAAACTCTAAGATAACTGGACCTTTGTTTGCCTGTTATCTACTTTAGCAATAATTTTTTTTACGCCCTTCTGACTCAACAAAATAAATAAAAGTATATTTTATACTGTTCAACAGCTGTTGATTTTTATTTTATTTTAATTCATTTTTAATACTCAGAAAGTCACTACAATATTCCATACTCAATTATTACACAAATTAAGAGGAGCATACAATTGTCTGTTGGTATCCACAAGGAATTGGTACCGGGACATAGACCCACACACCATCATCCTGCAGTCCTCAGGCACCAAAATTCGTGGATGTTCAACTTCCTTATATATAAAATGTAGATTACACTTGAATATAACCTACACACATCCTCTCATATGCATTAAATCATCTCTAGATTATTTACAATACCTACCTGGTGTGGCGCTGTGCATTAATGTGCTGACCTGCAAAGTTGCTTTGAACCTTAAGGTTGGTGGTTCAAGCTGACCAGTCACTCATCAGAAATCCTATACAGGGTCACTATGAGTCGGAACACACTCAATGGCACTTCACAACAACAATGCAATATAAGTAGCATTTAATGTTCCCTCTTAGATTTTGGAGAATTGCTTTGACCACTTAACTGCTTTTTGTTGTTGTGGTTGTTAGGTGCCATCAAGTTGGTACCGACCCATTGTGACCTTATGCACAGCAGAATGAAATACTGCCCGATCCTGGGTCAACCTCACTACTGTTGCTACACTTGAGTCCTTCAATGCTGCCACCTAGCCATTCCATCTCGTTGGGGGTCTTCCTCTTTTTCTCTGACCCTCCGCTCTGCTAAACATGGTATCCTTCTCCAGCGACTGGTCCCTCCTGACAATATGTCCAAAGTATGAGGACAAAGTTTGGCCATCTTGGCTTCCAAGGAGCACTCTGGCTGCACTTCTTCCAAAATGGATTTGTTGGTTCTTTTGGCAGCCCATGGCACTTTCAATAGCCTCCTCCAATACCATAACTCAAAAGCATCAATTCTTCTATGGTTTTCCTTATTCACTGTCCAGCTTTCACATGCATATGAGGTTATTGAAAATACCATGGCTTGGGTCAGGTGCACCTTAGTCCTCAAGCTGACATCTTTGCTCTTCAACACTCTAAAAAGGTCTTGTACAACAGATTTTTGCCTAATGCAATGTGTCGTTTGATTTCTTGACTGCTGTTTCCGTGAGTGTTGATAGTTGATCCAAGAAGAATGAAGTCCCTGACAACTTCAATCTTTTCTCCATTGATAAGAACATTCTTTATTGGCCCAGTAGTATTTTCTTTACATTGAGATGTAATCCATACCGAAGGTTGTGTTCTTTGATCTTCATCAGTAAATATTTTAGGTCCTCTTCACTTTCAGCAAGCAAGGTTGTATCATCTGCATGTCACAGGTTGTTAATGAGTCTTCCTCCAATTCTGATGCCACGTTTTTCTTCCCAGCTTCTCAGATGATTTGCTCAGCATACATGTTGAATACGTATCATGAAAGAATACAACCTTGTTACACACCTTTTCTAACTAAACCATTCGGTGTTCCCATGTTCTGTTCGAACAACTGCCTCTTGGTCCAGGTACAGATTACTCATGAGCACAATTAAGTGTTCCGAAATACTCATACTTTGCAATGTTGTCCATAGCTTGTCAAGAGCCACACAATCGAAAGCCTTTGGGTAGACACAATTGGCACAAAAAAATACAAGTAGTAACAGAGCAAGACAAGAGCGAACAATGCTCAAAGGAGTGACTGGAGAGAGACCTCATTTCTTCATTCTCATGAATTAAGCATAGGGCTCAGCATGGCAAACTCACATTTTACTTTCCCCAAAATATTTTCAATCTGGTTGGTTGAATCCACAGATGTAAAATCTGAGGATGCAGAGGTTCAACTATATCATAAAAGATTGAGTCTGGAGTGGGAGGAAACAATCCTTTCTCCCAAATTTATACAATAAAATCTGTGTACACTGGAACCTGTGAAGGTGGAAACCTGTCAGAGAAGGAAAACTCAAATATTTCCCACTTTAACAGAGAATCCTGGTGTGGCACTGTCGAGTAAATGCGCTGGACTGCAAAGTCGGTTTGATGCTCAAGGTTGGCGGTTTAAACTCACCATCCACTCCCTGAAAACCCTATGTAGGGTCACTATGGGTTTGAACCAACTCAACCACATAACAACAACAACAAAAATAGAGAGTAATTGAAAAGTGATGACTACTGCTTGGATTTTGTGGCATATATGAATTTTATTCCAGGAACTCAAGGATGTAACGAAAAGTCACTTTATTTTTTCTAAATAAAATGTATCAAACCCATCTTGTTGAGGTATTAAGAAATTCAATCTGTGATGGCATTTTTATCATTTCCGAGATGTGAAAAACTAGAGGAAGGTTGTACAAAGCAAGACATTACAGGAATGTCTTCAGTCATTCAAGACATGGTAAATGTCTACTGTCCCAGGTGAGCAAAACCCTGTCCTCATAGAGCACCACACAAAGCACTTGGCATGACTGTTTCTATAATTGTTGTTCAGTGCCGCCGAGTCGGTTCCGACCCATAGCGACCCTGTGCAGGGTTTCCAAGGGTGTAAATCTTTACAGGAGCAGAAACCCTTATTGTTCTCCGCCTGCAGAGCGGCTGGTAGTTTCCAACTGCTGACCTTAAGGTTTGCAGCCCGATTCGTAACCACTACACTACCAGAGCTCCTATATATATAAAATTTGGGCCAGACTCTACTTTAACCTCTAAAATCACAAAAGAGTTTCACCTGCCATTATTTACTATTAAATACAACCACCAAACAATAAACCTACCAATCTACCTTCCTGTTTTGATTTCTTCCTTTCCCTTTTTCCTCTTTCTTCCCTTCCCCTCTTTGTCTCTTTGTGTGCCAGGCGTTGTTTTAAATATGGGCATATAGCAGGGAGCAAAACAGACTAAGTTTATATTGGAACTTGAACTCAAGTAGGGGGCAAAAAAACGTATGTCAAGTGGTGACAAGTGTTAGGAAGAAAAATCAAGCTGGTAGAAGGAATTGGGAGCAACAGGGTAGGGAGTTGGGGAGTCTGTTGGTTCTGTTACATAGTGTATGTAGGGGAAGACATCTCTGAGCAAGTGACATTTATGCAAAGTGGGTAAGGAAGAATCATGGGGAACCTACAGCCCATTGATAATAGACGGTCCAGCTCACCCTCCACTACAGTCCCGTGCACAGAGATCTCCCAGTCAATTGTTTAGGGCCTAACACATGAGCAAATAGCCAAAAATGATCACCAACATTTAAAAAGAGCTTAACAATATGAAAGTTAAAGAAGTCTGCTGGCACAAACAGTTAAAAGCTCGACTGCTAACCAAGAGATTACTAGTTCAAACTCACTCTGACTCTGCAGGGGAAAGACCTGGTTTGCTGTTCTAAATTTGGGACAGTTCAGTTACATAGGATCACTATAACATAAAATCAACCCGACAACACTTTGCAACAGCAATATGAATGGAATCGTAGAGACCCAAACAGCATAAACCAATAGGAAAAACAAAGAAATCATTACTGTGCCCATTATTTAAGACACCTCCTGTCACTTCAAAATTTCCTTGTCCCTACCATTTACTTCAGCCATTGTTCAGCATGTAGTTCACCGTCTTGCACCAGCTTTACTGATTATACATAATTGAATATTGCCTTATTTTGAGCCATAGTTTTAACTGGCTCCCTGTCCTGGGAATTTCTTCCACCTGGTCATAATGCGTGTATAGCCACCCTCTTGGCACAATTTGAAATTGAAGAAAGTTAAGGACATTGTGACTTCTGGGAATAGAATAAGTACTTCTCCCTATTCATATGACAGGACGTCAAAAAATTCCTAGGAAAATGGAGTTGAAAGATAGGGAATTTTCCCACTAACTTGAATCTCTCATACTTTAGTCAGATATTTCGGAGAGTTTTCCTTTCTTAGCTGTTTATTTACATACCTGTTTGGTAAGGTGGAGGCTCAGAGAAAAAGAGGAAGACCCCCAACGAGATGGATTGGCCAAGTGGCAGCATCGATTAACTCAAGCGTGGCAACAGTAGTGAGGTTGGCCCAGGATCAGGCAGTGTTTCATTTTGCTGTGCATAAAGTTGCTATGAGTTGATACCAACTCTATGGCACCTAACAACAACAACAATTTACATACTTATTGTAAATAAATAAATATATACATTTATCAATTTATTGTTTTTCACGTGTATTATTTAGTGATGTTAATTATATTAATCATGATCTGCAACCAACCCGTACCAATAATTTTCCATCACAAACTATAACTCAGTGTTAGCCCCATTTTAGGTGTTCCAATCAGTTATAGGCAGAAGACGGACTTACAAGCTTTCTATGGTGATGCTTTTCCCTATTCCTTTCTCTCCCTCCAGTGTCTATTTTATAATATAATGCAAGGAAAACCAAGATTGAAAAGACAGCCAAGCATCTTAATATTATTTCCCCCTTTTCCACATTCCAACCATGGCTCGATCTCTGTATCCCA